GTCTTCTGCCTCGGTAGCCTCCACTGCCGTTCCGTAAGTTGAACCCTGTTGTTTCTTCCTGAACTAATCTCTCTCCTCTCTGCTACGGGTGTAGAATACTGGTCGATCTGCCTGCCCTCCGGTGTCGAGCCACGGGACATCACACCGTCGAGCTGCCTGCGAGACAGAGTCCGAGACATCGGACTCTGTCTCCTGTGGTCTTGCGTTTGGGTCCTATCCGTGAACTCCCGCAACAATATCTCAGTAAAGTTTACTTTCATTCTTGTTCGTACTTTCAGGTGATGGCCTAATTACTTTTTACTTTTTAATGCCGACAAAACATACCTCCAGCTGCTGCTGCTTCACATTAAAAGCCTACCAACAGGGAACTAGGTGAAGGCTTTATTACCAAGGAGCTATTGGAAATGCAATGCATTTGTCACAGTTGCGTAACTGAATGCTTTACTGGAGCTGTGTTTTTTTGCATTTGGATTTTGCACCTTGACAAAACGTATGTTCAGTTTTAGTTCATATCAAATATAAGTTTATGACTTCATGAGATTGTTGCTGCTGGTGGTGTTATACTAGATTGCATTATATTGAAAGTTATCTTCCATTGGACTGTAAACACATTGCTGCCATAAGAAAAATCTGTTTGTTTGTTAAGATCGAAACGTCAGAGTGCAGCCGCCATTTTGAGACCCAGAGACCTGTAATGTTTACATGCAAACTGAAGTTACTTTCGGAAATATATAAATAATTAGGCATATCTGCCGGCTAATTTGAAATGATGCAACAGCAGTCTGTGGGTATTTACTGACGTAATAATGTGTTTTGGAGTAAATATTTTACTGGATTGGATCATCTGGACCTTTGGCAATGTAACAAGACCATTTTTGTTGGAATATTATCGAGAGGTGGATTACTATGAGGCTTCATCGGTGAGTTGCCTCGGTTTTGTAACTGTTGGTTTGTTGGTTGGTGGTCTGACAGAAGCGTTGATTGTACCTGCTGTTGTGATTGTATCTTGAAATGGTTTGCATAAATCGAATCACAAGAATCGTAGCTTTCCAAAGATATCTCACATCTGTACCTATCTATACATAGCAGTTGTATACATGACACAGATGTACAGTTAACACTCCAAAAGCCCGTGGGCGGGCCGTCGGAGTGTTAACAGGAAATACATGGACTTACAATGATCATGACAATTATATCAATACAATAACTGTGTTCTTGGCCTTTTCACCTCTATCTGGGCAAGGTTTTCTTGTTCTTCTTTAACATCTTTTGGAACCTGGTCTTGATCTTCCTTTTGGTTCTCCTCCTCAGCAGCGTCTGAGGGTTGATGTGCTGACGAGGCCACATCTGGGTAACAATCAATGTCAGGTGAAATATTGGTTAGATATAGCTAACCAAAGTTAATATGTAAGTTTTAGTGTTTTATGGTAAAGTAAATTACGTACTTCAATTTAGAATTTCAGCTACCAGATAATCATATTTCATTAAAGTCTAAGTACAGCACAAAAACATTGTTTTTTACTATGAAAAACACAATACTTTGTTGAAGCAGACTATTGAGTGTAGCGACCCATTATTTATTTTTCGTTCTGGTTAAGTCAATACCTAAGTTTTGTGGCTTCACATGAGAAACAATTTTTATTAACCACAACAAAACTAATTGTGTGACATCAATATAAGAAGTGATTTAACAATGATACAGTTTAAAGGGTTTTCTAATAAAAAACATTTGATAGATATGTTAATGCCACCAACATTATACAATTAACAATCCTGCATGAATATACACCAAGTAACTTCAAGTAATAAGAAAAACATTGTAAGGTGGGAAACTTACCTTGGGTCCTGTTTTGAGTCAAGACAAATAATTTGAAGCCACAGTGAGGACAGAATTTATATGATCTTTCCACTTGATTTCCACATTCAGTGCAAAACATGATTTACCTGTTCAGAAAGACAAGAAAATTGGGGGAAACATTTCAATGTAGTTGTTGAGCATTAGAAGCAGAATTCATACTTCTTTCAGAAAAGTCTATACCCACTGATTTAAATTATTTCCCAAAATAAAAGTCAATTAGAGACTGTATGGAGACCAAAGTAACAGGCTGCTTAAATGTATGTTAATATAATAAAATATAAAATACCATATATAAAACTATCGGATTTAGGTCTTTCTGTGTAGTGTCCTTGTTACGTAACAGATTTTCTCTCATTACCTTCTTCTGCTCTGTCTGTCTTTTGTCATTCAACTACAACACTATGATCTGAGAAAGCATCTTAACATTCAACAGGAAGCAAACAGTCGAGCCTAATTCTATAATAAATGAATGAAGAAAACTTATTATAGCACAGTAAGTAATAAAAAGCAAAGTTATTACAAAATAGCTGTCAGTATAACTAACCTCAGAGTTATTATTACAGACACAGTACTTGAATATTCTAGTCATAACTTAATGGATTATTCTTAGGTTAGCACAATGGATGAACTTGTTCAGATAACCTACCTTGTTGCTCTTCTTCCTTACATGGTTGAATCTGAACATCTGAGCTGACAACTGATGTTATATAAAATGCATTTACTTTCTCTTTTGATTTACAGTAAGAGGTGTGGCTGCTTCGGCTTTTTCTGCCACACCCGTTGACTAAAATCACCACCATTTCCGAGAATCCAAAGTCACACCTTTAAATTGCTTGTTTTGTCCAACTACAATAGATATTTCATTTACTCTCACATGACACAGAAAACCAGCACATTTTCACTTTTAAGAAGCTGGAACTCGTGAATAGTTATAGCTCTCTATTCCTAAAACTATTAATTGATCATCAAAATAATTGCGGATCTATTTTCTTTCGATAATTCATGCACACATTATATATAAATCATCTTTTTACAGCAGACTGTAAGATCAGTTATCCTGAACTACATTACAGTCATTTAGCAGATGCTTTTATCCAAAGCAACTTACAATTCAGATTCTATCACATTTCTACACCGTAGGCACAGCTACGGGAGCAATTTTGGGGTTGAGTGTCTTGGTCAAGGACACATCGACATGCGACTAGCAGAGCCGGAGCCGGGGATCGAATCACCGACCCTCTGATTGAAGGACGGCCCTGCTATTATCCACTTAGCCACAGGTTGAAATGTTCGACAACCTCCAGCACTAACACACACAGACATCCTCCTTGGTAACCACTAGGTGGCAATATCAATTTATCTAAAACACAATAGTTTAGTAAGAAAAGTAATAGTGGTAGTTATGGTATTTCCCTTTTTCCTTTCCTCTTTTTTTTATTGACCCACCTTCCCTACTGCATTCAAAGTCTCATCTCATGTTGTCAAACAGGAATTGAATTACTGTTTTATAACTGAAATCCTGTCACGGGTGTGGTGGAGGACTCAAATGCAGACATAACCAGAAGCAGAGTGAAACTGGTTTTAATGAGCGAAGAACACAACAGGAATCTTATAGGGACACAGCAGGGAATCCAAGGACGAGGCGAAAGATCCTGCAGGGCAGGCAGACTGGAAAACCAGGAGCAGGATGAGCCAAACGGGCAGGTTGACATGACAATTGATCTGGCAATGTGTGTCTGAGAGGCAGGAGTCTATATAGTGGCTTGATCAGAGGCAGGTGAGTGAACAGGTGAAGGGAGTAGGCTGATGATGAGGGAGTGGCTGGTAGAGTGAGGAGGGTGTGGAGCTACACACAGACACAAAGAACACAGAAGGCAAAGCCTAATCGTGACAAATCCATGTTATTTACTTTCATCCATGCAGTGAAATGTTGTAAAACTGCAACTTTATCATGGATGAAGACACTTTCCGTAGTTTCCATTTATGATTGGGTCCCCGTTTGTATCTCATGCTCTACGACCAGCTTTTGCTGCTAGTCACTGTAGACAAGGAATAAATGTTGATTGTAAGTGTTTACTAGTCCAAGATGTCCATGCCATCAAACTTATCATTTCTGTAATGGATTTGTATTTACAATACTAGATTGCAGGATGACATTTTCATTGTATGCCAACAATGACAAGATGAAACAACTTCACCCAATCTGCATTAATGTGTAGTATCGTTCTTTAAAATAAAACAAAAAAGGACGGGTTGTAAAAGGTGAATTGGAGAGATACAACAGACAACTGGAAGTAACTACAGCAAAGAAAAAGACGAGTGTCAGATAAACTAGAAGTGTTCATCTACAGATGTGGTCGTTGATTTAAGTCTCTTTATTACTTTTCTGCTGCTTTCATCAATAAAACTGAAATAAACAAAAAGGCTTTCAAGTGATCTTTTGTGTTCTGCTTCTTTAAAACTTTTTACAGAAGATTTTTGACAAACCAGTTGCTCATGAAGATTTAAAAGTTATGAAATATACGATTCATATGTTCATTTAACTATGAAGATAATACATTTAACAACCCTGTTTTATGAGTAGTCAGCACTTAAGGTGGACACTACTTTCTGTTTTTGCTCCTTTGTTGTATGATTTAAATGAGTTACCAAACATGTCCTTCCTGTTTTTATATCCATCTCCTACTATATATGCAATGATGCATTTCTGTAGATTAACAGGTAATACAGGAGTTACAACGCAACATACACATGAATGCAGCAGTAATATTAACCCAGAAACATCAGATATAACAGTAAAACATTTGACAAATCAATCAATACTTTTACTTTAACTACTGATAATACTTAAATACTTTTACTTTAGTAAGGTTTTGAATGCAGAACTTGTAGTGGAGTATTTTCACAGTGTGGTATTAGTACTTTTACTGAAGTAAAGGATCTGAATACCTCTTCCAGTGGTATTCTGACATGTAGTTTGTACATTTTTTTGTCCCGTTTTTATAATATTACATCAGTATTACAGTAGAATAAATGACGCTTTTATTGTGAAGGATGTTCGCCGGAAGTGCTGCTGGAATTAAAACCTTTAGAGAAGCAGACTGACAACCCGGAGTGAAAACTTGAACTAGCTATATCTTACTATTCCTCAATAAACATGGTGAGTATGGAATAATGTGAAGATGTCATATTTATTTATTTAACTGGTTTGCAAAATGTGAGTGGTTGTTAAATGTTAACTCTCATTTTACTGATTCAGTTTTAAGTCATAGAGGCTAACGGCAAGCTAACATTAATGTTTAACAAGATGGCGGGCTTGAACCAGTCTCCTCCATCATCCACGGCTCTCTGAGGCGGGAGTCCGGGCTAGCTCCTTCTAACTCCATGCAATCTCAGTCACCATTGCTTTTATCTGTCTTCTCGAGGAAATTAACGGTGTTTATTAATAATATTAATAATTATTTAACACACACACACATACGAGCGTTTGAGTCCGGCGCCCGTTCTCTCTATAACGGTATATCCATGTCGGCCATTTTGTTGACAGTTAATGTCACGTGATTAAAAATTCATAAATGAGCGTCAACAGGGGCGGTAATGTCACGTGATTAAAAATTCATAAATGAGCGTCAACAGGGGCGGACTGGCCATTGGGGATATCCCCGGTAGGCCGACGGGGTTGAGCTGGTCCAATACCGGCCCACCTCCATCACCAACCGGCCATCGCTCTGAGATCGCAGACTATATTCTATGCTTCACAGAACAAGTTATATTTACTCGATTGCTTAAAACCCATAATCACTGACTGATATTTATACTACTCCTCGCGATCTGTATTCACACTCATGGTTTCCATCTGCGAGCCGGCAGCACCCCTATACACACACACAATCACATGCCCAGCATGCAATCTGCCCCAAAGTGGTGGGTCTATAAAGCAGTTTAGCCAATGATGCTTTAATGCTGATTAAAGATATACATGAGTGACATACAATTTAGCCAATCAGCGTCCTCAAATAGATTAATTCAGCGTCCTCAAATAGATTCAGCTTGGGGCAGAATCGATTCTGCCCCAAGCTGCGCGTTTCCGTTCGGACTAGTCTTTACAGGCGAGCGCGAGCCCCAGCGCCAGCGCGAGCACTGCTCCTCCAAGAGCCGTTTGAGAGGAGAACTTTGGCGGAGAAACTGCACAATCAGACAGCAGACTAGCGGGATAGGGAAGCAGTACATGCGAAGCTTCTCCACTAGCTGAACACCGGACAGGTTTGGTTAGCTGGATGACGTCATGCTAATAACTTATTTAGCTTTTTAAAACAACGGGGACAGATCCAGCACGGAAAAATAATATATAAATAATTATATGTGTGTGTGTGTGTGTGTGTTTTATATTATAGTGAATATTATTATATGATATATATATTATTATACGATATATGATATATATATTGTTATATTATTATACGATATATATATATTATTATACGATATATATATCATTATATGATATATATATTATTATATGATATGTATATATTATTATATTATACAGCATATTATTATATGCGGTGACGCGGTGTAGACAACTAACGGAGAGTCAACGTCAGAAAATGCCTTGAAAACCTGTCGAGATTTAACTGCGTATAACCATCTGATACTAGCCCAGAGTTAAGCATATTCATCTAGCAAACTATACCTACCTTGGAGTGTTACAATAGCCAGTATCATTTTATTCCATGTGTCCATCCAGGCAAATTGGTGGATCCAAATGTTATATAAAAAAACATACATGATATAATTTCTTTGTAATCATCCAAAATAATGTTAAGTGTATGGGTATTTTTCCAAGTAGGCCACTGACTGGTCGATATGTGCGATGCATTGAGTGGGCAACGCGCCATGTATTGAGTGGGCAGCGCGCCGTGTATTGAGTGGGCAGCGCGCCGTGTATTGAGTGGGCCTGTCTGACAGTAAAACTCCCGGGCCACTTTTCCCCCCCAGTCCGCCCCTGAGCGTCAACATTTTATTTAAGCTATAACAAAATAAATGACTAATCTATTACCAAATATAAAATCAGCACAAGCATCTCCTGTAATTCTGCAAACACATAATCCACCAAAGAGCACGTGTTAAAGTATTATTTAAATTCTATCCAGGTATTCACCTCTTTGTTTCTTATGTATCTGAAGTGGACACTACTAGTTACCGGGGTGTCATCCTGATTTGATCTGAGTTTATAATCACTGTGTGGTCGTCCCATGCTGCAGTACCACTCTGCTGTTTTATCACACTGTGATACTGACTACATCGTTATTGACAGAGTGTTGTGGGCGTTGGAAGAACACATGGTCAGAAAACCGTCCCCTCTGTGTGACTGGATCTCTAGTACGAGCCTGAACCCAAAGTGCTTTTGTTCATGGCTCAGTAATAGAAACAATGTTTTTCATCCAGCGTGAGTGTATCTCAGTTCACGTGGGTCAGGCTGGTGTCCAGATGGGCAATGCCTGCTGGGAGCTCTTCTGCCTGGAGCATGGAATCCAGCCTGATGGACAGATGCCCAACGACAAGAACATCGGAGGATCAGATGATTCCTTCAGCACCTTCTTCAGTGAGACTGGAGCTGGCAAGCATGTCCCCAGAGCTGCTTTAGTGGACTTGGAGCCCACTGTCATCGGTACATTATTTAATACATATAGACCATAGTTACTGCTTGATTCTGGAGAGTCGAACCCTCGGCTCATTTTAGTTTCTCTCCTCAGATGAAGTGCGAACTGGGATCTACCGGCAGCTGTTCCACCCTGAGCAGCTGATCACTGGTAAGGAGGACGCGGCCAACAACTATGCCCGTGGGCACTACACCATCGGCAAAGAGATCATCGAGCTGGTGCTGGACAGGATCCGCAAACTGGTGAGGACGAGTTCCTTCCTAATGAAGCCAGGAGCCTGTGATTAATTATTATCCTTAATGACTGATGTGTACCTGTGTGTCACCGTGATATTCTAGTCATTCACATCCTTTTGTCTTGAGACTCGTGAGATCTCTTCCTCCAGTTCAGTACAACGGAGTCTACTCACTGAAGTGGATCCACCAAATCATGTGCTGTATCATGTGTACTATAGTAACTAGAATAACCACGTTTATTCCTTTGAATAATATAGTGCATTTAAGTTTCAAAACAAAACAATAAGCATCATTGTGGCATGTCTTGATGAACCTCACAGTGAAGGTGTCAATGAATAATTCAAACATAATAAAGAAGATCAAATGTCAGGAATAGGCGTGGTTTTAAATATCAATAGCTTCTTTTGCAACGATTCATTACACGTTTAAAATATACAGTAGCCTGATCGACCGTCCAATCGCAGCGTAGCATGGTCCCGCTCCACAGACTCTCACCTCTGGTTCCAGATGTTCTTTGTGTTCAGGAGCTCCTCCTGGTTAAACGTTTATTGGTGATACTCTTCACCCAGAGAGGTTGAAGGCGATATATGTTTCTAAAATGTTAGCAATAGCTAACATTAGCTAATGCTAACATTAGCTAATGTTAGCAGAGTACTCTTCTTCTTTTTTTGATCTGCAGAACTATCAAATAATTCACTACTATCATATGAAGTGATAAATGAATTGATTCCTGAACTAAAGTGGATTACTGCGTTCTGTCCTCAGTCTGACCAGTGCACGAGTCTTCAGGGATTCCTGATCTTCCACAGCTTCGGGGGCGGTACCGGATCTGGTTTCACCTCTCTGCTGATGGAGCATCTCTCCGTAGACTTCGGCAAGAAGTCCAAGCTGGAGTTCGCCATCTACCCGGCTCCCCAGGTGTCCACAGCGGTGGTGGAGCCGTACAACGCCATCCTGACCACCCACACCACCCTGGAGCACGCTGACTGCACCTTCATGGTGGACAACGAGGCCATCTACGACATCTGCCGCAGGAACCTGGACATCGAGCGCCCGTCCTACGCCAACCTGAACCGGCTGATGAGTCAGATCGTGTCCTCCGTCACGGCCTCCCTTCGTTTTGACGGAGCCCTGAACGTGGATCTGACGGAGTTCCAGACCAACCTGGTGCCCTACCCTCGAATCCACTTCCCTCTAGTCACCTACGCTCCGATCATCTCAGCGGAGAAGGCCTACCACGAGCAGTTAACCGTGGCAGAGATCACCAACGCCTGCTTTGAGCCAGCCAATCAGATGGTGAAGTGTGACCCTCGCCACGGTAAATACATGGCCTGCTGTCTTCTGTACCGCGGGGATGTGGTGCCCAAAGACGTTAACTCTGCCATCGCCACCATTAAGACCAAGCGCACCATCCAGTTTGTGGACTGGTGCCCTACCGGCTTCAAGGTGGGCATCAACTACCAGCCTCCCACTGTGGTTCCTGGAGGAGACCTGGCCAAGGTGCAGAGGTCAGTGTGCATGATGAGCAACACCACCGCCATCGCCGAGGCCTATGCTCGACTGGACCACAAGTTTGACCTGATGTACGCCAAGAGGGCCTTCGTCCACTGGTACGTAGGAGAGGGGATGGAGGAGGGGGAGTTCTCAGAGGCCAGAGAGGACATGGCCGCCCTGGAGAAGGATTACAAGGAGGTGGGCCTCGATTCTTTTGATGGGGACGGCGGTGAATAAGAGGGGTCCTGTTTTGAGTCAAGACAAATAATTTGAAGCCACACTGAGGACAGAACTATCCACTTGATTTCCACATTCATGATTTGTCTGTTCAGAAAGAGAAAAAAATTGGGGGAAATATTTCAATGTAGTTGTTGAGCATTAGAAGCATAATTCTTTCAGAAAAGTCTATACCCACTGATTTAAATTATTTCCCGAAATAAAAGTCAATTAGAGACTGTATGGAGACCAATGTAACAGGTTGCTTAAAGGTATGTTAATATAATAAAATACCATATATAAAACTACTATTTAGGTCTTTCTGTGTAGTGTCCTTGTTACGTAACAGATTTTCTCTCATTACCTTCTTCTGCTCTGTCTGTCTTTTGTCATTCAACTACAACACTGATCTGAGAAAGCATCTTAACATTCAACAGGAAGCAAACAGTCGAGCCTAATTCTATAATAAATGAATGAAGAAAACTTATTATAGCACAGTAAGTAATAAAAAGCAAAGTTATTACAAAATAGCTGTCAGTATAACTAACCTCAGTTATTATTACAGACACAGTACTTGAATATTCTAGTCATCATAACTTAATGGATTATTCTTAGGTTAGCAGAATGGATGAACTTGTTCAGATAACCTACCTTGTTGCTCTTCTTCCTTACATGGTTGAATCTGAACATCTGAGCTGATAACTGATGTTATATAAAATGCATTTGCTTTCTCTTTTGATTTACAGTAAGTGGTGTGGCTGCTTCGGCGTTTTCTGCCACACCCGTTGACTAAAATCACCACCATTCCGAGAATCCGAAGTGAAACCTTTAAATTGCAAATTTTTACTTTTAAGAAGCTGGAGGGAATAGTTATAGGTCTCTATTCGTAAAACTATTAATTGATTAGCTAAAGAATTGCTGATCTATTTTCTTTCGATCAACTAATTGTTGCAGCCCTATATACACCTTTAATATAATTCATGCACACATTATATATAAATCATCTTTTTACAGCAGACTGTAAGATCAGTTATCCTGAACTACAGTGATTAAAGATCCTTCGATGAACTATGATCATATCTTCACAGCAAATTCTCTGTAAGTATGGAAACATGGAAACGTAATCAATACTATCATTAGAAGTATAATGCTTGCTAACCATGTTCAGTGACATGTTCGACAACCTCCAGCACTAATACACACAGACTCCTTGGTAACCACAAGGTGGCAATATTAATTTATCTAAAACACAATAGTTTAGTAAGCAAAGCACTAGTGGTAGTTATGGTATTTCCCTTTTTCCTTTCCTCTTCCTTTATTGACCCACCTTCCCTACTGCATTCAAAGTCTCATCGCATGTTGTTAAACTGGAATTTAATTACTGTTGTTTTATAACTGAAATCTATGTTATTTACTTTCATCCATGCAGTGAAATGTTGTAAAACTGCAACATTAACATGGATGAAAACACTTTCCGTAGTTTCCGTTTATGATTGGGTCTCCGTTTGTATCTCATGCTCTACGACCAGCTTTTGCTACAGAAGTCACCGTAGACAAGGAATAAATGTTGATAGGAAGCGTTTTACCACTCCAAGATATCTCATCAAACTTATCATTTCTGTAATGGATTTGTATTTACAATACTAGATTGCAGGATGACATTTTCATTGTTTGACAAGATGAAACAACTTCACCCAATCTGTATGAATGTGTAGTAGCATCTTTCTATCTTTTTATCGTTCTTTAAAATAAAACAAAAAAGGACGGGTTGTAAAAGGTGACTTGGAGAGATACAACAGACAACTGGAAGTAACTGCAGCAAAGAAAAAGACTATGGGACAGAGCAACCTTTGGAATTTAATTCAATTCAGGAGGCTTCACGAAGGCTTTGCCAAAGCAGCTGAATTGCCAAAAGGTCTATTTTAATGGCACTGAAATGAAAGAGCAGGATGCATTGAGTTCATGTGGGGGGAATGCTAGGAATATTTTTCTTCCAAAATGCATGCATAATATCCAAGATGGCATTTGTGAGGGAGGAAAATAACACTGTTTTCCACTGCCTCTGAAGTCAGTGCTAAAGGAGTGTGCTAAATCATATCCTCTTATTGCTAGGCTGAATTGAACACCGTGCTAACAGGCTTTGACTGTGTGTGTGTGTGTATTTGTTTGTGTGTATCTGCATTGGGAGTGTGGGAGCTAATCTCAGTGGGCTATTGAGTCCTCCTCCTCTTCTTTACCACCCACACATCTCTTCCACACACACAGACACAAACCACTGCAGCCGCCAGCCAATCACTACCTCTCTTCCTCTCTATTCCCTTTACCTGCGTCACTCTGCATGTGTTGCCATGGTGATCACTGATGCTCCACCCACACTCTGTCTCTCTGCCTCTTTCAGTATGAAGATGAAGCCGACTTGGGGCTGATGATGCAGGCAGGCTGCACACGTCATCATTTCCCTCAGGAAGAAGGCCTATTTTTACCACTGGGCACAGAGTATACCACGCTGCCCAACATATTTATGGAACCGCAGCTAATCCCAGCCTGCCTGGAGAAACATCTCTCCCCAACGCTGAGCATTTCTCTCTCCCTCTCCATTCATCTCACGGAAATTCTCTTCCTTCAAAGGCATCATTTTATCCCTTGAGTTGAGATGGTAGCTCTCGTAAAGGTTTAAAAAAATCTTTAATATCTGCACTGTTTAATCTGTGATACTGTAATTATTATGAAAGGGAGATTACACACACGTATTCATCCTTTACATGGAGGTAACCCAGTCACCAAAGGAGCAAAGATTCAGAGACAAATTCACAAAAGGACTGCGCAGCTTTTGCAGCCACTAAACCTGCACAAATAAGACTAAAAGAAACCATTTAATTCTCGAAGGACCCACAAATGGTAAAATGCAGCCGTAACTTTGCACCCAAGCAAATAGCTTCTTGGTGCTCCTGTGCAACCAACACAAATTGCTTCAAGTGCATTTATACTTTGCCACATAGATAACTGCTATCAGATGCACAAAAGGGCAAACTGCACTCAGCTGCAAAACTCTATGGGCGTGTTTGCACTGGAACTACCAAAACAACTTTCATGAAGCTGGAGCTTAGCTTCATCCCCTTCAATATCATATCATATCACACTTCACTTTACTCTCCCAATAACAGTTACATTGTGGTCTTGATGAGTAGTTTTCTGCAAAGACAGCCGTTAGAGGCAGATTCTATGACCGAACTAACATTGAGAACTACTGGCTAGTGTGATCAGTTGTTGGTGCGTAGTTGTTTTGAATATAGTAAAACAAAGGCAGGTGGTATTGAACGCTAGCAAAACCCAGGCCCAAGCCACCATATCAAGCTTTTGTGAACAGAAATTGGAAATGAGCGGGTGATGCTAGGAGATCATACATGGGGAGGTTAAAATTCCCCAAAATGTCATTGTACATATGAGGTTCCTATGGCTAGCTAGCTAGTGATAGCACCTGTGACAGACACCTGGCAGACAAATTTGTTCCCTATTATCTGGAGCTTCTGAACAGGTGTCATGAGGACTTTAGTCTGTTGGTTGTTTTACCGGGTTTGGCTCTCTGACCCTTTCTCCACGCCCAGCTCACTCGCCCCAGGCCATGTTCTCTCCTCTCACTTCCCAGACCTGGCATCCTCAAACCATCCAGATGCCCTCAGACTCTCTTGTCAGTCCTGGCCTGCGGTCGAAAAGTCAAAAAATGACCCCCTAACGTCTATTCCTAGCCACTCTTCCTTGAGCTCTATGGAAAACATCATGGGGTCAAGGAAAGATGTGACTGAGAATTCATAAGAAGTTAGGAAAAGACAATCGTGGTGCTTGGAGACACTGACGTAGGTCTGCTATGGCGAAACTACAACAAAGGACTACAAAAAGCACAACTAAATTATGACCCCATGAAATCCAATTTACGTATTTGTTACATGTTCGAAGTAAATAAATACATATAAAAGAAAAAGAAAAGATTGTCGCTGTCAATTCACATTCATCAACATGAATCCTTTTAGTTTATGACTGTATGAAAATAATTGTTAAACCTGTGTGAGATAAGCATATCGTTTGTTTTCACGGATGGCCGAATGGTGCATCACTTTAAATGTTGCCGCCGCAAGGAATTGTGGGGCAGCATTATCTTCTTTCCTTTGTAAAAGGAAGGATTAGTGTTTCCTATGCTGAAGGAGCTAAGAAAGAAAGCATTGAAGCACCTTTCCTTAGCATTTAAAGATTTCTAACAGCTCTTATGATGGCGGCCACTTAGATACTTCCATGTCATTTTACTCAGTTAGGAACCTTCCGAAGCAAAAAGGACTTTTCGAACGCATCCCTGGTCCCCTGACATTCCCGACTGCCTGTTCCCACTTTCTTAATCAGTCCTGAAGTTACTTGAATTTCCTCGACTACTCACACCTGTTTCTACTTTCCCTCATCAGTCCTGCAGTTTATAACTGCCCTTTTCCACACACTCCTTGTCAGTTTGTCAAAGTTGCCTTTTTCCATGAGCTTTCTAGCGTGTTTAACCTGTTGTCTGACCTGAAACTTTGGATTCTTTAAATTGCTACCTGCCTGAACCGCTGCCTTTGGACTGGCTTCTGCCTTCTTTACCTGCCAGACCATATTTTCCTTAGTTAAATATATGAACTGATTCTTGCCCGTATTCACCCTTCTTATATACAGTCTTTGGCTGCATTCAAAACTGCATAATATGTGTGTACTGATTTAACCAAAATGTAGTATGCAATATGGAGTTGAGGTTTCATGGACAGTTCTGCTCACAGACTAGCTACAGAGCAGCAGGCAGTGGCAAGAGAAGATGTTAGGGAAAGAGTAGACTCTGACAGGGAATATAGATACTTAGTAGGACAGCATGGCCCTTTTTAATAGTAGTTTTAAACTGACTAAAAGTACGACACTAATATTTGTAGGGATAGCATTTCACTGTTTTGTTGCTTTAACTAAAAAAGCAGTTTGAGAAACTTTTGCTGAGTCATGTTTTACATTTACAGTCTTTTTTTTGTCCAGTGCTTT